AATTTGTATTTTTTCTCATCATTGTTTGTGTGATCAGTAAAAATGCTCCCGTGGCCTCAGACTGACGTCCAGCAGACGCCGCGCTCGTTTTAATATCCGTCTGTGTTTTTCCTCGTGTCCTCTGTTGGCTGTTCATTCAAACCATTTTCCAAATTATTTACTCTCTCGTCTCCAAACCGAGCCTCTTTAAGGCGTCCGGCAATCAACAAAGTGCCTCTTATGTAAAATCAATTTCTTACATAAGCGGCCATATGAACGCAGAGGGGTATTAAAACCCACAGAAGATATGAAGTGTGCACACGCTCTGTTCCCCGCAGGGCGAGCGGGCTTCGTTCTGCCAGCGAGGATAATGGACGTGTACGTAACGAAGCCGGCTCATCAAAGGGTTAAATTAAGGGGAAATAATGCCTTTAACTCGCTGCTCGTCACCTCCTTTTGGTAGATTATGTAACGCGTTCTTGTTATTTAAGAGATAAACGAGGGCTGAATCTGAACCCAACCTGCCTGTTATGGTAAATTACGCAATTCATCACGATCGAGGAGGAAATTCTGCCTCACCTGCCGTCACCCCGACGCTTTGTGTTGTTTTGCTACCTGAATAAATCCTGTTAACCTGGATTCTGGCAGCTGAGCCGGCGTGTGAAGATTCCTGCTTTGTTTGAAACGCTCCTCAGTGTCTCTCATGAAAACACGGAGGTGAAGACAGAAGCTGCTCTCTGACCTTCCTTAATCCCCGAGCCTGAAATAACCTGATGTAAAAGAGCTTTTTAATATTTGTAAATGGTGCTGACCTCTGCAGGTTGTCGCTCAGAGAGTGCACCGAGCTGTCAGAAAGGCCGGTTCTGAGCAGAAGGTTTAGGCTGTAGATCCACTCAGGACCATCGCTGTTTACGTCCACGCTGAGCTCCACTGTCCTGCTGTGGAAACATTTTGACTGCTTGAGAATGTAAAGCAGGGGTCACGTGGGACCAGAACCACCAGAGGGTCCAGTTCAGCTCGCCGGGCTGAGTCTGCAAAAGGTGCAAATTTCAGTGAGGTCAACTCCAGTAATTTTAACAAAAACACAAAATTCCCCGTGTGGCCGTGCAGGAGTGGAACAGCCTGCAGACGATATTCCAGCGTCGAGTCAAAAGGATGTAAATCCTTCCTAAATCTGTCTTTCTGTAAGATATGATATAGATGATTTTCAGGAGCTCTGAGGCCGTGCGTCTGCTCTAAGGTGGACGCTTCAACAGTCTGTGGGTTAAAGCTCCTGAAACTATAAACGTGCTGCTGTGTTTTCTGTTGCAGGAAACGATGACGACCAAGTTTGAGATGTCCAAGATGGAGTGAAGCACAAAAGAGAAGCTTTTTTAAAAAACAAGAGACTGGCATCACCGAGAGGTACGCCCACGTGACGAGGAGGAGGGAGAGATGAAGGAGGGAACCGATGGGAGCGAGAGCTCACTGTCGCCGTGTGATTTCATCCCTGAACTTATGAGCTTTGTAAGCCTTGACCTGTACATACGCTGGGAGCAGAGTTGATGCTCAGATCCTTTTATTTCCTGTTTGTACTTATACGCCTCTCTGTATACTCTGCATACACAAACAGTATATTTTGACCGATTTAACGTTAAATGTTTTGTGTTTGTTGGATTTTTCACGTTTACACGCGCAGGTGTCTGTCTCCTCACTGCAGTGGGTTTTGGGGACTTTTTTGGTTTGTTTGGTTTTTTAAGCTGAATGAAAAAATTGTGTTTTGATTTCTTCAACCTGCAGAGACTTAAATTGTGAATCATAAAAGTAAAATGTGAGTAAACATGGAGTATTTCTGATGAAGCTGAAGTTTGTCTTTCATGCCAGTTTTGTGTTTTCGTGGAGCTCGTTTAATTCTCATTATTAATTCATAACTTAACGTCCTTCCTGTGCTGAGACGGCTTGTTTGAGTTTGACGCCTTCTGCAGGCTCCGGTTCAGATGCTGTAAAACGTGCGACGAGGCCCCGACGCACAGGGTTTCATTACTGCACAGAAAGGAGCAGGAAAACGAAACGGCGCGGTCTGTCTTTGGTGATAATTTAGGTCTATTATTCGATCATAACGCCAAAAATCAGACCTCAGAGTCTGGCTGGGGGTAAAATCATAGACTGTATATAAAAGATGCTTTCCTAAATGTTGGCGCTTTGGCGCCAGCGGGGACTGTATTTGGATGAGAGCTGAGGTGCCGCATTATTAGCTAACATGGCTAACACGCTCACATCACAGATACCTGCTAATTAGCGCTGAGTCTCATCCAAATAAAGTCCTCGACTTTCACTCAGACTTCATGGTTACTACAGTAACCTCACAGCAGCCATATAATTGGTCAGATGATGTCATTAAAAAGGCTCCAACGGTACAAACAAGGTCCAGTTCAGGGACTGGAATTAGCCGAGGTGCCAGGCTGGAGCTGCCTGTGGCAGTTTTTAACTTGTCGATTTACTTGTTTCGGCTCCTTCCAGTGTTTTCTGTCAGACTGTGAGAAGTTTAAAGCTAGTTCTGCTGATCCTCTGCCATAAAAGGTTTCACAGCAGGTGGTTTGATTTTGCAGATTTACGCTGGATTCCCTTCCTGATGCAACCTCACAGGGGAATTGTGGCTCTGGCTTGACCCAGCGACCTTTCTCCTGCCAACTGAATGTATGAATCACAGCCCCGCGGAGCCCCTGTCCGATTTTTTACAAGTCTAAAAGAACCTGGCAAACACTCAGACTCACCAAAGTAGCAAATACTTCAAACTCGGGTTGTATCGACAAATTTATGGTCATCTATTTGGAAGGTCGATAGTCTGCATGCCAGAGTATTCCTCTGAAAGGCACCGAACCCCAAAGTGCTCTCAGATGCATCCACGGCAGTGTGAATGTTAGAAACGGTGCTCGTGTCAGTGAGACGCTGGATGAAGCCCTTGGAGTGTGCAGTTAAGAACCAGTCCAGTCGCCACACTTGGTTCACTGTCACGACTTGTTAGATCCATTCTTGCCCGATCAGCGTTTCAGCCTGTTGGTCGCTTTGTCGGCTTCTCCTCGTCCAACCACCGACCAAAGATTCTGGGTCAGATTACGACACGGGAATTTTCCTGCCCATGAATCCAAAGTTTCAAGATTTCTGCAAACTTCAGATCATGTTTGTCTTGTGACATGGAGCTCCATCATGCTGGAAGGTGCACAGATTGTTCCTGGATAGTTGCAGGAAGTCGGTCTCTGAGGATTCTTTCAGTATATTTCAAATTGATTTGTTTGCCGGTAAAATTACCTCTGGTTACTCTTCACTGCATAAGAGAATTTTTTTTTTTAAAGGCAAAGTGTTTGAAACAAAACTGCCGCTGACTCACTTATGGAGCCTCGAGTGGACCCTGGAGGAACTGCAGCTTTTGGAGGACTTGGCTAATGAGTGATGTCACAATGGCTGCATCCATCTTTTATATTCAATTCAGTTTTATTTATACCGCGCCAAATCACAACAACAGTCACCTCAAGGTGGTTTATATTGAAAGGTCGACCCTACATCCATCCACTTTCGCTTATCCTTTTCAGGGTCGCGGGGGGCCTATCCCAGCTGTCATAGGGCGAAAGGCGGGGTACACCCTGGACAGGTCGCCAGTCTGTCGCAGGGCCAACACACAGGGACAGACAACCATTCACACTCACACCTAGTGGCAATTTGGATTATCCACAAGCTGCATGTCTTTGGACGGTGGGAGGAAGCTGGAGTACCCGGAGGGAACCCACGTAAACACGGGGAGAACATGCAAACTCCACACAGAAAGACCCCGGCCTGATGGTGGAATTGAACTCAGGACCTTCTTGCTGTGAGGCAACAGTGCTAACCACCGTGCTGCCCTACAATAATACATAAATAGATAAACCCAACAAGCATATGACCCCCTATGAGCAGCACTTTGGCGACAGTGCGAAGGAAAAACTCCCTTTTAACAGGAAGAAACCCTGGAGGCTTCTTCCTGTTTCCAGATATCCAGTCTGTGCTTCAGCCCCGGGAAAACGTCTCCTATTCAAACTTTGCACCATCTTTTTATCTGTCTGTTCGGCCGCCTGCAGTGTCTTCTCTCTCAGCCACACACACTTTACACAGCCCTGTGTGTGTGTGTGTGTGTGTGTGTTTCAGTTAAAATGTTGACGCTGACTCGTCTGGATGGACTAAATGCTCCATGAATCGCCCGGATCAGCTGCAGGAAAGCTCTCCCTGTGTGCTGCCCGCTCCCATCAGCCTGCAGCGCTCGCTCGCTTTCACAGAAATCAGCTCCACTTTCATCTTTTTCTCAGTGAGGTTTGAGGCTGGACTTTTATTTTGGAGGGCTGCTGATCCCGAGTCATATTCAGTGTTTTGTGTTTTCTTACATAATGCAGCTGCTCTCATAAAGTGGACCTACAGCAAATCCCGAGCAGATAAGACGGGTCTGACAGCGAGCATTGTCTCATTTTAAATCCAGCGAGCAGCAGCTGTTACAGATGAAAAGTGCGTCACATAAATAAAATCCATGTAATGCAGGCTTTGAGCTTTACACTGGAGTATGTGCGCAGCGTTCGCGCAGCAGTGTGTGATTACGGGGCCGTTAAATTTAGATGAAAAGTAAAAACCAAACATCTGTTCCTGCTGAACTGTGGACGCAGGAGTCGCTCAGTCGTCTGCGGCGATGACCGTTTGTCTCTGTGAAAAGTGTGTTTTTGTATCAGCTGTGATGTTGGGGAGAAACTTTGTTTTCCACTTCAGTCTGTAAAATTATTTTGCCGTTTGCTTTTTAAAAAAAATCAGAAGTTGTTAATAAAAAGTAAGTTATGAGCTTTGCCCCTAAATTCTGATTTTACTCACATATTTCAATTCTTATGTGTTTATTGATATTTGCATCTTATGACATTTATTGTTTATTGGCTTTATTGGTTGTTCTGATTGGTTGTCTAATGACTTTTACACAGAATAGACTACCCGTCTACCCCCCTCCCTCAAGTGGGATAACCGGGTAGTCCTCCATGGAGGATGCCACCACCACCACCATCTGCTCCTGGATCTTCCAAACAAACCGGCCTCAATCAGCCCGACTCGGCCCGCACCTCCCGGACCCCTGCAGAGCTGCGTTCTCTGCCCCCTCTGAGATGAGACGGCGTACAGGGTGGAGGTAGAGAACTTGTCCCGCTGCTGCAAAGAGAATAACCTGAAG